GAAGGCCAATTTTATTTTTCAGTCCACCAAAAGATGCTGAAGTTCAGTTATTTTTATGTGGAACTATTACTATATATTTTAGATGGTAGAGGTAATTTCAACTTCTAATTTATGATAATTTGATTTATTAGTTTCTGTATTACTGATGAATTCTACTCCTAATGCACTTAAAATGTAATATTTGCACTGAAAACAGTATCAGTGTAGCTCCATGCACAGATGAAGTAAGGCCTATAGAAGCGGTAGGCTATGAAAAAATTATTTTGTGCCACAAATCAATCACTCATGAGCATAGGATATCTTTCCATGTATTTGTGTCTTCAATTTCTTTCATCAATTTTTTTATAGTTTTCATTGTATCGATCTTTGTTTAAGATCTTAATTTAACCCCCTTGTTAAATTTATTCCTATTTTATTTTATTTTACTTTTGATACTATTTGAAATAAGATTATTTCTTAATTTCATTTTCGGATAGTTCATTATTGTATAGAAATGCAACTGAGATTTGTATATCCATCTTTATATTCTGTAAATTTACTGTATGTTCATTAGGTCTAACAGTGTTTTGGTGGAATCATTAAGGTTTTCTATTTATAAGATCAAGCCAATTGTAAACAAAGACAATTTTACTTCTTCCTTTCAAGTTTGGAGGGCTTATCTTTTTCTAGTGTTCTTGGCCTGACTAGAACTTCTAGTACCATATTGAATGAAAGTGGTGAGAGTGGACATCCTTGTCTTGTTCTTGATCTTAGAATAAAATTTTTCAGTTTTTCATCATTGAAGTCTATATTGCTGTTCAAGTCTGCTATAGTCTTATTTATTTTATGTCTGGATGATCTATCCCATGGTTGAAAATGGGTTATTAAAGTCACCAAGTATTATTACATTGCTTATAATTTTTAATAAAATTCTATTGTGTCAGATATAAATATAACAAGCCCTGATCTCTTTTGGTTACCATTTGCATGGAATATGTTCTTACATCCTTTTACTTTCAGTCTATGACTGTCCTTATAGCTAAAGTGAGTCCCCTGTAGGCAGTATATAGTAGGATCTTGGTTTTTTGTTTGTTTGTTTGTTTTTTATCCATTCATCTACTCTCTAACTTTTAATTGGAGAATTTAATCCATTTGTACTTAAAGTAATTATTGATAAGTACGGACTTACTATTGCCATTTTGTTAATTCTTTTATGACTGTTCTGTAGTTCCTTTCTTCCTTTCTTACTCTCTTCCTTTTGATTTGGTGAAATTTTTGTTTTTGCAGGTTTTTAATTTCTTTCTCTTTATGCTTTGTGTATCTACTACAGGTTTTTTTTTTCTGTGTGGTTATCTTAGGGCTTAAATAAGCCATCACATAGTTATAACATGGTACTTTAAGTGATAATAACTTACCTTCAATTGGATATAAAAACAGGAACCTGGGGTATGGAAGGCAGGCCTGAGGGGTCCAACATGAAGTTTGAAATTGAGTGCTGTGCTGCATGGGTTTGAGGGGGCATCAACATGGGAGATGTAAAACTGTCATTCCTACCTTCTCATTGAGTCCTTCTCTTATTTCTATGTTCTACTCAGATGCTTTAATCTCTTACTTGGATTTTTTTATTCTTGTCAAGATATTTTTGTGCTTGGACAGTTGTTTAAATCCATGTTTCCATGAGGGTACAAGTGCTACAAACTCCTCTTCCACTATCTTGTTGACTCCTGAAAATCTTAGGACCCTTTTAAAGAGGACTGGGAGGAAAGATTCTAAATAAGTAAAAGGAATCATTTTTTCCTTTTCACCTCCATGGCAGAAAAAAATGTTGTTTCACAAATGAGTGTAAAAGATGTGAAAAGCCTACTTGAAGGGTCTCTCTTCCCCGTATCTAAGAAGACTCTGTGGTCTGAGGGCCTCACTGAACATGAGGTGGGGAAAGAAAAATTCAAAGGAAGTAGGATGGCTTGGCAGGTATCCCCATAAAGTGAATTCTGAACACCAAGAAAAGTATCTCCAAATAAATGCTTTTATCCTCACTATAACATAGAGTGACATGCCAAGTACTATGTCAGAACCACACCAGAGAGAAAAATATAAAATATTTATTAAAAAGTCTTTTCTAAGATATGAAGTGGGATTTTGTATTGTATCACACACATGTATACATGAACACAACATAGTTGTGACCATCATTTTGTAATTGTTCTTCAGAGTAAAGCTATAAAAGAAATGTGATATGATTAATAATAATTCCAAGAAAAATTGATTTGGAGCTAACTGATGCTAGGACAATCATAATATTGAGTCAGGTCAATGATAAATCTGCCTAGAAGGGATTTCTACATAGTCCTTTATTAGCATAGAGAAAAGAGCTGATTGTAGAGACCATCAGAACCATGGAAGCCAATGGAGTATCTTTTCAACTCCATCACTCACTTTCTTTTCAATGGAAGGTTTCTTTTTTATATAAGTAAAGATTTGATAGAAATCTTCTATGAAAACCAATGGTGTATTCTCCTTAAATCCTGCTTGTTAATCAGTCAGCCACATTATTTCCGATGGACTTTAACTCCTTGTGAGTTCAGATATAAAATATAAGGACTGGCCGGGTGCGGTGGCTCATGCCTGTAATCCTAGCACTCTGGGAGGCTGAGACGGGTGGATTGCTGGAGGTCAGGAGTTCGAAACCAGCCTGAGCAAGAGCAAGACCCCATCTCTACTATAAATAGAAAAAAAATTAATTGGCCAACTAATATATATAGAGAGACAAAATTAGCCGGGCATGGTGGTGCATGCCTGTAGTCCCAGCTACTCGGGAGGCTGAGGCAGAAGGATCACTTGAGCCCAGGAGTTTGAGGTTGCTGTGAGCTAGGCTGATGCCATGGCACTCAGCCTAGCTTGGGCAACAAAAGCGAGACTCTGTCTCAAAATAGATAAATAAATAAATAAAAGGACTGAGCATGCATGTAGACTTTTATTTATAAGTTATTGTAAAATAGGTTCTTGAGAGTCAGAAAATAATGATCAGTAAAAGTATTTGTTACCTTAGTGAAAAAGAGAAAAATAGGAATCAGATTCATATATGCAAATGTTTGTAATGTGTATATAGAAAGAGAGAGACAAGCCAGGTGCAGTGGCTCATGCATATAATTCCAGCACTTTGTGAGACTGAGGCAGGGTGTTTGCTTGAGGCCAGGAGTTTGAGATTAGCCTGGACAGCAGAGTGAGACACTGTCTCTACAAAAAAATAAGAAAACATTAGCAGGGCATGGTATTGCATGCCTGTAATCCCAGCTGCTCAGGAGGCTAAGGCAGGAGAATCACCTGAGCCCAGGAGTTCCAGGCTGCAATGAGCTATGATCAAGTCAGTACACTTCAGCTTGGGTGACACAGGGAGACTCTGTCTCAATATAAAAAGAGAGAGAATGAATGAGAATTTAAATTGTGCATATATATATATATTTCTTCAATAACTAATACAAAATATCTTGACAAAATACTTTATAATTTTTTCTCATTTTTCTCCCATAATGCCTACATAGATTGAAGTAGTAATTTTTTTTAAAATCTGGACATCTTAATTTATAAATAATAATCATATTTAAAATTCCAAATTTTATGTTTAAAATGCTAGGGGAGTTGAGTTTTAATTACCTACAAATGGATCATCCATGGCGGATTTTAACTGCAGGCCTAGTCGTCTTCTTCAGTGTTCTTATGGCTTCTTTTCTCTGGGAATCAGTGAGGTAGGCTTAGTGATGCAAACTGACTTTAATATTAAATTCAGAGGAAAATGAGCTTTACAATTGTGGATCTTAGTATATGGAGTTTCCTCAATTCTGTGCTCCCTCCCTCTGCACCGTGGACAGGCAAAAGTTGACTCCAACACCACTAAGGAAATTGGCACGCATTTACACTCAGTTATATACTGGGAGCATATTTTCCCTCTTTTTTTTTTTTTTTTTTTTTACCTATTTTAAATATATCAGTGTTCATAATAGGCATACATGCACCTGAGAATTCATCTGTGGCATTTATGTGTAACTTAGGACTCATTTTTCCTGTCACGTATCTCATGTTTCATGTACGATGTTAGTGCTGTGGTAGGAAACTAAAATCCTACATTAGTCTTCTTAGTAGCACTATTTGAGTCAGTGTCAGCTTTTATTTAGGGATATTTGACAATACATCAGTTACACTTCAGGGATTATTTGCTTTAATGAGTGAAATAACTTGGCTTTTGAAAAGGTGATATTTACAAAATCACTGTAATGGGAGTATTAATTTCTAGCTTGATTCTAGATCATGATTCTGAAAATAAAGCTCTGTATAGGGCATAGGAAAAGCCTGCTCTGATAATCAATGTGAGCTATTCTAGACATATATTATGAAAGATATATAACATAAAATAAAATAAATGAAGTCGAATAAATGAAAAAGGTAGCCTAAATGCATTTCCAGGTGTGTCATTTTCTGTGGAAGGGATGATTCACTGCAGTAAATATATGCATGAGTTCTGTTTGAATTTATCTTTTATTCGTTCTTAAATTATTTTGAAAAGCAATAATGAAGACATGATTATTATGCAAAATCCAAAGTTTATTGCTTCTATTTGGGGCTAAATTTTAAAATATATATGTAAAATTGGATAAAATTTTGATCTTGCTAGCAGTTAAGTTTAAAAAACAATGTTGGCAATGTTTAATCATAAGGAAAATTCACTAGGGTATCTGTACACTGTGCTTATTTTTCCTAAAAGAAATGCAGAAATATTAACAGATGCCCATCTAGATGTGGCTTTAATTCTTTCTCCACATGACATTATTGGCTATTACTAAGTGACATCTAATCAAGTTGGATAGATATTTCTTGAAATGATGCATGGTATGCAGTGCATGCTGTCATTGTGCTTCCTGCCATTATGGAATAACGTGTCTTATTTGGAAATACAATGATCATTTCTGTTAAATCACGCTCAGTCAGCTTATATAATAACAGCTATATTTTGTGAATCATTTCAGATTTCAGAGAGCTATGCCTTCCTACCACGAGAAGCGGTGACACGATTTCTAATGAGCTGCTCAGAGTGCCAGAAAAGAATGCATTTAAACCCAGATGGAACAGATCATAAAGGTAGCTGCAGTGTCAAATAGTGAGATTTAAAGTAATTTTATTCATAATGGCAATTTATATATCATATTTTTATAATAACGTGATAGACTAAGAGAGTTCAACAAGTCAGATCATCTCATTTATTCAAGTAGGAGGCAGTGAATTTTGAATATCCACTTACATAGTAATTCAGTGCCCATTCTTAGAAGAAAGACAGTTTCAACTGTGGCAAATGACATTTTTCCCTATAATAATGTTTTAATTTTCATTTATTATATGTATTTCATGGTGTTTTAGATATATTCAGCAAGAAAATTGGTTTCTACCAATGTCCTTTTAAATCTACCAATTCCTTGTCTCTAAAAATCATGAATAATGCACAATTACTTCACTAAAACTTTTCACATAAAAATTCTAATTTGGCTTTAGCTTTCATTAAAATTATCTAGATTATTTTCCTAAGTATGATTTCCTCTCAGAGATTATATTAATCTCAAAGATATATTTAGGCCAGCTCATTCCTGTGTGTTGTAGGATGTGTAGCCTGGCCAAAAAAAAAGGGCAAAATTCCTTTGACACTGAGAAAGTACATATAGAAAATAATTATGTAGCAAAAGAGAAAAATACAAATAATTGGGTTTAATCACCATATTGGTTTTATTCATTGTTACTCAGTATATTTAAAAGCTCCTTTGTATTCAGAAATAATTAATTTATCCATGCTGTTAATTTGCATCAATACACATTTGTAGAACCTTACCAGTTATTTTTTTCTACAATCCATCTGCAATGCTACCAAGCTTTTAAACATTTGGTATCTAGAATCCTATTTCAGTTTGGACAAAGTGGATCATTCTGAAATTACAGGTAGAGTGTAGTATCACTTTCATTACCCATTAAAAATGTTTTATTACAGATAATGGAAAACCTCCCACTTTGGTGACCAGCATGATTGACTACAACATGCCAATTACCATGGCCTATATGAAGCACATGAAACTGCAGCTGCTAAACTCACAGCAAGATGAGGTAAAATAAAAACATCTATGCTTTTATCACTTACAAATTGGAATGAAGTTAGATAACCATGAATATCATATTAGGCATGATGGAGTTTTAAAATCAGTAATTTATTGTTTAATGAATGAATGTCACCAGGGTTGCACAGATGGGGAAAGTGGGCAGAGATTCCTAATCCATGATACAAAGTCCCAGTCTTAACACATGTATCTCAGTGTAATGTGGAAATTTGTTCATTCTTGAGAAAGATTCATTTTCCTTAGTAGACCAACATTGAGCTAGCCTTGGCAAAGTGCTAATAAGTTCAGGGGAAAGAATTTCAGAGTAAAGTATCCCAAATAAATGAGCTTCCAAGGAAATTTAAGTGCTAAGGCTATTTTGCCTGGCAATAAGAAAAGTAGATTTAATAGGTGTTTCCAGTATAATAATTTCTCCACTATTCAATATGTTGAATGTATTTTAAAGTTATTTTTAAATTAACTGATATTCTGTATATTTGCTTGTTTACTTCTTTGCATTTTCTGAAGACAATTTGTGGTGATTCTTCTTAATTGGAGGTGTTTTGATGTTTCAAATTATTCTATTTAATTTGCATAATGAGAATATAGCAATGTGCTGGCATGTGTAAGATACTAAATGCATATTTGTCAAATATTCTTTAGAATTCTAGTTAGCTGTCCATTTTGGTTAAAGTGTCTCAAAAGCTGGGACTAAGTTATATATGTGCCCTTTTTATATTCTCCAAAAGACATAACAATAGCAGATATACAATAGGTGCTTAGTAAATTCTTGTTTACTAGATAATAGCCATTGATTAATAGAAACATTCACATTATCTATATTAGGAGCAGGTCCTCAGGCTAACAAATTCTCTCTTTGAAATTCCTCTGGAATAGGAAATGTGGTTAAATATTTAGTTTTCAAATATAGAATTATTTGCTAAGGAATCCTTAAATTCTTTTAAAATTACTTTGTTTAGCTAACTTTATTCATAAAACTCAAATCAAATTTTTAGTATTTTTTCTGTATTTGACCAGGATTAACCTCAAAGCTGTATTTATAAAATTGTTTGACTTTAACAGACTTATTCAGGGTAAACTCCATTAAAATAATCCATATTAATGCAGTGACAGTATCAGATAACATATTGCCAGATGGCTACACATAAATAATTGAATAAATAGTAATAAAAATCATTGGGTTAAAGATATCAAAGACAATTAAGAAAATATCAGTTTGTCTATCCCTGAGCAAGAAAAGAATTTATCTCCATGATTCATTATATAATGGAAAACATTTTAATGTCTCATATACTAGTTAGAGCTGTCAGATTATTTGTAGGGAGCTCATTTAGATGTTGATATGTTTATTTCTAGGCCAAAATGTAGGAAGATCCATTTTGTGCCAACAATGCAGCCCACATATGCTGATCCCTTCTGGCTTCTAAAAAATCATCATTATTTTACACAAAAGAAATTAGATCCTTTTACATTTATAACTAGATTAGGAAAATCACTTACATTTGAAAAGAAAACTAAATTGGATATATACTTCCTTAAAATATTTAGATGAATAACCAGTTAGATTATTTACAAAATTTTTAGAAAATTGAGATTATTTAAAATAAGAAAGAAGTTAAGTAAGGGAAGTCACATTAAAATGGAATTTAAGTGAAATATTCCTGTGTGATAAATTATATTTAAATTTGAATAAACATTAATCCAAACAACTCAACCAATATTTATTCAGTACCTTCCATGTACCTGGCACTCCTGGAGAAAGGCAGTGAATACATTGACAAAAATTCTGCTTTTCTGAAGCTTATCTTCTAGTGGGGGGAACATACATTAAAAAAAATAATGAATATAAGGATATAAGAAGATGCAAAATGCTATTAAGAGAAATAAAGAAGGCTAGGAATGTGGTCCCTTTAGAACTAGGGATCACAATTTTAAAAGGCTTCATTGGGAATGTATCATTTGAGCAGAAATGAGGGAATTGAAGTGTGTATATATGTAAGGGACATATACTGCTAGATTCTTGAGGCAGGTGCATGTTTGATAGCTATAGAAACAGCAATATAGCTAACATGGTTGGGGCAGAATGAACAAGGAAGAGAAATATAGGAGAGTTTAGAGAGAGAGTGGAAGTCCAGGTTATGTAGACCTTATATTTTAAGAACTTTGGATTTTACTCTGAGTAATATAGGGAAGGTTCTGAGCAGAGGAATCATGTGATGTGACATATATTTGGACATATCATGTGACCTGAGAACAGACTGAAGAGGAGAATGCAGAGATACCAGTAGAAACTTATTGCAGAAATCGATGTGGGTGAAGAGTTAACAAAATCCTTTCCCTTTCTGCATGATAATTTGGCCTTTGGGTAACGTTTAACTTTCCCCCTTAAAACTGATAAAATTGTTGGCAACTGTGTTACTAGGCATCATTGCTAATAGCCAAATGATCCCAATTGGTGAATGTCATCAGATGACTAGAAACACCTGGTAAGAATCTTCAGGTTTTTCTGAGTTGGTTGATTCTTACAATTGACATGTCCCTTGTGGTGAACTTAAAATCGTGAACCGTGGCATCATAAAAAATTTTTATCTATTTTGGGACATGGAGCTTCTTTGCCAACTTGCCTTATATGAATTCTCTTTTCTCACACCTGAACTATCACATGGAACGTTAACAAAAATATGTCTAGTTAACCTTGTGAGTTGCTACATGACCCCCTCTCCAGGAAGAGAAACACCTGATGCTGCCCCACTTGCAAACTGTTTTATTTACCTCAATCTTCTAGGTGAATTGAATGTTGAGGGTGGTCAATGGTAGGCTATGAGTATACATTTCAGTTGGATCTAACAGAAGCCCCTGAAGGATGTTTCAGGTATAGAAAAGATGAAGACTGTGGCTTGGGTCAGAAGGGTAGTAGTTAAGGTAGGAAAGAGAGATGAGATTATGAATATATTTTAAAATTTATTGATAGATTGAATGTGAGATGTGAAAGGAAGTCAAGAGCCAATGATGACTCCAATGTTTTTAATTTGAGCAAGCAGGGTAGAATTTCTATTAACTAGTATAGGAAAAATCTCTACCCAGTACATGTTTGAGGTATGATATTAGAAATTCAACTGTGAGCTCTTGATTAGAAATCCAAGTAGATTTGGGAGGTTTATTAAACATTCAAATAGATTTGTTAATTAGACAGTTGTTGTGTAGCATTAAGAGCAAAGAACTTAGCTGGAGATAAGACCAGGCATCGTAGGCAGGTAGTATATAAGAAGCCATGTGCCTGAAGGTATTATCAAGGTAGTGAGTTTAAATTGAGAAATGAAGCCAAAAGACCTCTACTTAGAAAATTCCAGTGTTATGACATCTGGAAGATAAGGAGGAACCAATAGAGAGTACTGAGAAAGAGTAGTCAGCATGTTAGCAGGAAAAATCAGGAAAGTTTGTGAACTGGAGGAAAAGTAAAGAAAGTTTTTTTTAAGGAGTCTAGAGTAATAATATATTGTGTCAAATCAGCTTATAAGTTCATTAAAGAAAAGCCTGAAAATTAAATTTGTATTTAGCCTTGTCAAAGTCAATGGTATTCTTGACAAGAGCAATTTTTGTGGAGTGGTATGGATGAAAGCCTGATGTGAGTAGGTATAAGAGAGAATTGTAGGCAGAAAGGTCATTGGAAGAGTTTTGCTATGAAAGAGCAGAGAAATGGGTAGTAGCTAGAGAGAGAATGGGAACAGTAGGTGTTGATTATATTTATTTTTCTAATATCTGAGAAATGAGAGCATATTTTCACATTGATGAGAATAATACAGCAGAGGAAAATAAAGATGCAGGAAAGAGGATAGGAAAATTAGTGAAGCAATATCCTTGGCTTTAGTAGGGAGAACTTCCTATGCAAAGTTGAAAGTGTTGACTTTAGAATAGTGCACACACATGAGGGATCAGATCATGGTGGGTAGTTGGAAATGGTGGTGGAGGTGGTGGAAGTGCCTTTCTGTTTGCTTCTGCTTCCTCAGTGAAGAAAGAAGCAAGACTGAGAATGTTTGAGAAGGTATTCGAAGTTTGAGAAGAGAAGAGGATGTGAGAAGTAGAAATATAGACAGTGGAGAATGAATGGACCAGGAAAATGGGCTTCTCTTGAGTTTCATGGTCTTACATTTAAAGTGAAATCATCTAAATGACTGATCATTTACATATTCATCTATATAGGGGCATCAATAGAGTAAGGGGAATATTGGAATTATGTTTAGGGTCTTATCAAAAGAGTGGAGATGGTATACAAGGGCATGATTATAATGGCAAACCATGGAATGGAATTCTAGCTATGTTAAGAAGATGACAGGTCCTGAGAGAGATCAGAGAGACCAGGAGAAGTCAGTAAAAAAGGATTAAGATCAATGGGTTATAAATACTGGTGGGATGGAAATTTTATTGGAATTGGAAAACTAGAGCAAGTGATCTGGAAAATTTGAAATGCTATACAGAGAGTGGGAAGCTTTAAATCATTATGGAAGATTGTGGAAGATTTGAAGTTGTTGGAAATGGAATGCCAAGGTCAGACATGAGTCTGACATGAGAGTAAAAGGCTAAAGAAAGGTGGAGGTCAAGGTTATGGGAAAGAGATAATGAAAATGAGAGGTCAGGATGTTTCAAGAGATGCTGAAATCATCATGGATTGAAGCATGAGTAGTAGTAAAGTGTGTAGAACAGAGCCTGAACAAAACTCACAGTAAAGAGGACTGACCTGGAGATAAGCAGATGATTGTACTACATACAGTGTAGTCTTCTTTAGTGTGGATTTTGTTAACTATTTTGTAAATAGATCAATATATTTAAAAAAATAAAATCCTTGTGGAGTGATGGCAGGAACTCCATTTTATGCCCTAGATGCTTTATAAGTATCATCTAATTTTATACTTATAACTACCGACACATTTTTTTCATCTCCATTTTACAGATGAAGAAGCGAGGCTTTGAGCTAATAAAAGTTACCCTACT